CTGCTGTTCCTGTGATACTCTGCAGGCCTTGGTCAAGCAGTCTCGAGCAGAAACAGTCGAAGAGAGAGAAAAAGCCAAACAGACGGCCGACCGAGAGCAACAGCACTTGGATACAGTCAACACTCTGCAAACAGCACTCGACGACCTGAAGCTGGATCTTGCCCAGGCTCTGGCGGACCATGCAAAGGTAGAGTTTTAGGGTTTTAAGATTTTAGGGGTTTTAGAGGTTGTGCAGACGTGTGTGTGTGTCATGCAAAGGACAGGTGTGAGGCAATATTTAATGCGTGTGTGTACACATTTGCATAGACTCGTGTATACAAAACCTCTGCCTATGCGCTACAAATACTTAACCGCTTCGCTTATATCAGAACTTTTGTATATCGTTTACCGTTTAACGTCTACCATCTAGCCTCTTCATTGCCTCGCTTGTACCAGAACTGACGTTTGCCATGTAACGTGTGGTGTTTAACGACTAACGTCTTTGGGAATCATTCTGTCACATTCGCCATTCAGATTAACAACAGATGCGAAATATTAAACGAAACCATCAAACGCCAACGCCGTGAAGCAGAAGACAATGATCGCGCCACCTTGGTGTGTGCTCTGTTATGTTATATTTTATTTTTCTATGTTGTGTTGTGTTGTGTTGTGTTGTGTTGTGTTGTGTTGTGTTGTGTTGTGTTGTGTTGTGTTGTGTTGTGTTGTGTTGTGTTGTGTTGTGTTGTGTTGTGTTGTGTTGTGTTGGGTTGGATTGTGTCGTGCATGTGTGTGTATGTGTGTAAATGTGTGTAAATGTATGCGCATGTGTGTGCATGTGTGTGTATGTTTCGGGGGGGTTGATGTCTTTTCCCGTTGGGTGGGTTTCGGGGAATGCCTTGCTTGGGTGGCGGTCGTATATCGTTTATACGCATACGTCTACACCTCACAAGAATTGGTAGCTGTATATGACTGGTTCTCCATCAACTCCTTCAGCGAATTAGGTATTTTGAACTTTATTTGAACCTTGTGGGATCCAAAACTCAGGTTTCTTACATCTGCATCGTTTGTGATGGACTCGATCCTCCCCTTTGATTTGGGAACCGGACATTTCACGCGCACCTTCCTGTTTCAAATTTGGACCTGAATGTTGACAATGCGGTTTTCCTATATAATTAATTTGGGTCGAGCAGGACAATCTGGAGAAGATAAAACAACAACTGAAAGAAACCACTATCGAATTCGAGAACTACAAGACACGCGCGCAGAGTGTGTTGCGGCAGAAGGATCTAGCAGCCGACACTCTTGCCTCAGGTAGCCGTTGTCTGTTGTGTTGTGTGTTGTATGTAGGTGAATGTGTTGTGTGTTGTATGTAGGTGCATGTGTTGTGTGTTGTATGTAGGCGCATATGTTGTGTGTTGTATGTAGGTGCATGTGTTGTATGTTGTATGTAGGTGCATGTGTTGTGTGTTGTATGTAGGTGCATGTGTTGTGTGTTGTATGTAGGTGCATGTGTTGTGTGTTGTATGGAGGTGCATGTGTTGTGTGTTGTTTGTAGGTGCATGTGTTATGTGTTGTATGTAGGTGCATGTGCTGTTTGTTCCAGTGCGTATCAGGTATATATAGCGGTTATTGAGGTTTACTTTGCCCACCTCTTCTGGGGATGTCCTTTGTCATCTTATCATTTGCATACACTTATACATAACTGAGTTTTGTAGGGTTTAGGGGTTTTACCTGTACTTGTACTTGTACTTGTAGTTATACTTCTACTTCTACTTCTACTTATCCTTATCCTTATCCTTATCCTTATACTTATACTAATACTTATACTTACCTTACTTCTACTTGTTCTTGTACTTATACTCACCTTACCTATACTTATACTTGTACTTATACTCACCTTACTTGTACTTATACTTATACGTATACTTATACTTACACTTACCTTACTTCTACCTGTACTTGTACTGAAACTTATCTCACTTATACTTAAACTTATACTTATACTTACTTATCTTACTTCTCTCATTGTACCTATACAACAGCGGCGAACCCAGCCGAAGGCAGTATCTTCAACTCTCTGGGCGTGACATCCAACTCAGAAGAAACGGTATGTGTTTTGGGTTTGAGGGTTTTAGGGTTTCATCTCAAGCTCAATGGGATTAACCAGAAAGGCTACGCTCTCCTTATCTGCAGAAGACCATGTGCTCACACGCATCACCTATGGTTTTTGGGTTTAGGGTCTTAGGGTTTAAGGGTTTTGCATCACTGCGGCATGGGAAGCGTAACATCAGGTGCACACTTACACATACGAAACGTACACATTGACCTATATATATTCAGGTGCTGTAAACACAACTGCAGATACAAATGTAGATACACATACACATACACATACACATACACATACACATACACATACACATACATATACACATACACATACACATACACATACACATACACATACACATACATATACACACACATACACATAC